AATATAATAATATAAGTGACTTCGAAAGAGCATTAGAAGTAACCGTCTTAAATGGTCGTTTCTTTGTTTTACAGGTATAATTTAATTGTTAATAATTGTAAWTAGTAGTTTTAGTTAAAAATATAAATCTTTGTTTTACAGAGCAACACGTTATTCGAGTTATTTCCATACTATCCAACCTGATAGATAGATATAAACGTTACATACATATCATACATAATAATAATTATTAGTAACTAGCAATAGCTCAAAGTACATAGTAATACTGCTTTGCACCTTGCTAGAGCAGCTAACATATACCAGTAGCATCTGGAACCTAGCACCTAGAAACTTGCATCTAACAGTAGCACATAGCACGTAGCACCTACAATCTAGCAGTAGCACCTTGCATTTCCCAGAAGAACTTGTATCATGTAGGTATAAAATATGCTACATAGCAGTAGCACTTTGCCAAAACACAGAAATCATTTCAGTGGAATCTTGCTCCTAACTGTAGCAGCAGGAATCTTTCAGTTAAATCTTGTACTAAGCAGTAGCACTGGTAACCTAGTGGTTGTACTAAGCCCATTGCAGTAGTACCTAAAACCTTCTATCTATAAGTAGCACCTTGCAGTAGCACCTTGCCATAATACCTAGTACGTAGCAGGTAAGCCTTGCTATTTTAGCAGTAATACCTGGTAGCTAGCAAAAACACATAACACGTAGCACATAGCACATAGCACCTAGCAATAACTCTATGAACCTAGAAGTAGCATAAAGATTATAGCAGAAGCTGACAGATGAAACAAGCACCAAGCAGATAAACCTCGCATTAAGCAATAGCACCAAGCATAAATCTGGTGTAGATAGTACCTAGAAGTAGCATCTACAACAAAGCAGTAGTATCTTGCAGATTGCAATACTATTTGGCAGATAGCTGTATCACAATGCACATTTAAAAGGAGCTAGCATATTTTAGAAACTTTTTGTACCTAATAGTGGCACATTAAAACATGCATTAAAACCAATAGCAAAAACGTAGCAGTAGCTCCTATCAAATAGCTGTAGCAGTAACACCTAGCATTTTTAATCTAGAATATAGCAGTAGAACCTTGCAGTAGGACTTAGAACAAAATAGTATAAACTTGCAGTAGCATGTAGCCACTAGCAGTAACACCTAGTATCTAGCAATCAAAAAGCAAAAGCAATAAGCTTAAAGCAGTAACACTATAAACTTAGCTGTATAATCTAGAACCTAGCAGTGAACACAGCAACTGGCCATAGCTTATAGCACATACTATAACTACTTTGCACCTTGCTAAAGAAGCAAGAAGTTAACAGTAAAATCTAGAACCTAGTACCTAGA